CCCGTTACCACATCGGGGGTGTGCAGGGGTCCCCTCCCGTTACCACATCGGGGGTGTGCAGGGGTCCCCCCCCTCCCGTTACCACATCGGGTGTGTGCAGGGGTCCCCCCCCGTTACCACATCGGGTGTGTGCAGGGTCGGGGTGCTGAGTGGAGGGGCCGCTTGGTGCATGGGCCTCGCAGTGTGTGGGTTTGGGGGGCGGACAGTCTAGACACCGGGCATCTGTGAACTAGGACCCTGAAGCCACAATGTCCCCGGGAGCCAGCCACCACCGCTCTCCAGGGAAGCGAGTCCCTCCTGGTGCGGTGAAGCCTCCGGCCCCTGGAGGGAGAGCCCCGGACGGAGGCGGGGATTTCCGACCACGGCGGCGCCAGCCCACCCTGCTGGCCAGGAATGTGGCCGTGACGTCTGCCCTGTCACCTGCGGGGCCCTCCCTGCCGCGTGTGCCAGGCAAGAACCTTGCCAGAGGCTTGGAATTGCATACCAGTTGCCAAATTCGGGGCTGAACTGGAATTGTAAGGCTGATTTCTAAAAATGGAAATAAAAAAGGAAAAAAGACGAGGAGGCCGAGAGAGACACTGCCGAACGCTGTCCACACGAGCCCGTGGCCGCTCTATCTGCGACAGAGAAGCGTCCTGCGTGAAGAGGAGGGTTTTGATGAGTGTGGCTCACGCTCGCTCACCTGGAGGGCATGTTCCTCGGTCAGTGCAGTGACGCTACTGTGATACCTGAGGCACGTTCATACTGCGTTACATGTTAAAGCCGCAAAAGGAATCGTGTGTTACGTTTGCTCCAAAGCAGATACCTCGGCGAGGACTGGGAGGCGTGGAGCGAGGATCCTAAGAGCCGCTGGTGGTTTCTGTGGAATTCTCTTTACCTGGGAAAGGGAGTCCTCGCGCCTCATTGCCTTTGCTCATTAACCCCTGGCACGTCCTCGGGGCTCGGCGCACAGGCCTGTGGTGAGGGCTGGCGTTTCCTGTTTGGACCTTCGTGGGCTCGCTGAGACGAGGTGGAGGGAGAGCCCGCGGCCGGGGAGGCTGCCCTCGTCCACGTCCATCACACAGTTTCCTAAAGCTGGGTCCTCCGTGCAGAGGTTTCCCACGGCCCCTAGTGATTTTGGTTTGTGACCTAAGAAGAATTCAGCCACCGGGAGTAGGGAGATATGTGATTAAATTCACCCCCAAACCACACTGACAGATGGGACCAGGACATGGCTCACAACAAGACAGAGAGCCCACAGTGGCCGGTCTGCATGCTCCTCCTCTGTGCATGGTACCAAGTCCCATTTGTCGCTTTATTCAAAATGACAGTGGGCGAGGGAGCCGCGGCCCTGTTCAGAGAGCGTCCGTGGCCCCCCCGCCGGCCTTGTTACACGGACCCCTCAGCCCTGTGTGCAGGTCCTACCGGGTTAGAGCTGCCGCTCAGAACAGTAGTGACGGAAGCGTTAGGGCAGCCTCGGTGCCAGGCGGTGCGGGGGAGGCACTGCCCGCGACCTGCGTGTGTCTCTACCCCAGCTCCTCACCCCGCTGGACGGGACTGCAGTCAAACCCGCCGGTTCTCGCAGGGCCCAGGGCAGTGAGGGCGAACCTATGACACGCGTGTCAGAGGTGATACGCAAACTCATTTTTTGGGTTGATTTTTCTTTGTTAAACGGCATTTAAATATATAAAATAAATATCAAAAATATGTGTCTTTGTTTTACTATGGTTGCAAATATCAAAAAATTTCTATATGTGACACGGCACCAGAGTTAAGTTAGGGTTTTTCAAAATGCTGACACGCCGAGCTCAAAAGGTTCACCATCACTGTCCTAGACTCTTGAGATGGCATTTGAGAAAAACTTAACTCTTTCTTGAATCTACTTGGTGACACAGAGAGGCTCTGAGGCTGACTGGATTGGGTGTCTGGTTACTTCTTAAGCACGTGTAACTCTTCTTGGGTAGCTTAAGATATATTTTAGTTTCCTAGCTGAGGAATTCCTTCTGGTTTTCTCAGATCTGAATCTCTGAGATGGCCAAAGGGATAGTTCTCTTACAATATTAGTGGAAATGAGTTATAATTGGAAGTTCTTTAGTATTTTTGAGTGCCCCCATATCTTCATGAGAGGCAAGGCTAAGGGGGAAACACGAATGTAGAATCTATGAGGACAACTTCCTTAGGATCTGGAGGAAATCCATATTACTTTACCTGCTGCAGATTGCCTTATCCAAGCAGGAGACGGCCGCCTGCCGGTGCGTTCGGAGAGCCGGCTCCACAGCCCTCCTCTGAGTCTCATGCTGTTGAAGAGGCTGGAGATCCAGGGGACGCCGTTCAGAACCACACACGCAGGGGGAAGCCCGCACTGCCCGCTGCCTCACGGCCGCCTTTTGGGGAGGACCCTGCCTTTCACGTCGCCCGGCTTCTCTTCCCGCCCAGAGGGCAGGAGGCCCCCGTGAGCGGCCAGCATGCCTCTGGCGCTCGGGTGTCAAACCTGGAAGACATACTCGCCGAGGATGCTGGGGGGTCGGGTCAAAAGGGCCCCCGAACCAGCTGCGGGGAAGGAGCCGGCCTCCCGTCACATGTGGTGTGTCAGAGGCGGGACGCGTCCTGGAAACGCACCGCGATGGGCGGGGGAAGTTACAGCCCGGAGCCAGCCGCCTGCCAGTCATTGCTCCTGAGGCGCAGCCGCCAGCTCCCCTGGTTCTGTGTCCTTCGCTCTCGGCACACGCGGCGCGCACGTCTGTGAGATGTATGTGTGTGTGACACACACGCCCCGCCTTTCCCACACGCGCAGCTCAGACGCTGCGGGGAGGCCCCAGGCGAGATTCCATAGGTTCCCTCCTGAACGGAGGCGGGGGCGGGATTTCGGATGGAACTGAACCAACTGCGTGCGGTGGCAGTGGACGCCCTGCCTGGCGGCCTGGCTGTCTTGGCCCCCTCCCCTCGCTCACGACCTCACCAGCGCGGGTGCTGCGTTGTCATTTACTTCGGTTTCTGTGGGGCCAGGATCGAGTCTTGTTCGTAAGATCGTGAAGGCGACCAGTGAAGGGGACACTCTAGACCCCCCTGAGCAGCTCGGGGGCCAGGGACCCCGCAGCAGGTCTTGCTGACGGAAGGAGGAACGTCGGCTCACGAGGTTACGGACTTTATAAGCGTGTTTGTTCACGAAAAGGCGGGACAAGTGCGTGTGAAACTCGTGGGGAACGGGAGGGGCCTGGGCGCGGCGGGAGGTCCAGCCAACAAGGTTCATGCGGATCCGCACGCGCCCTCCTGGAGCCGGGCCGAGGGCGGGTCTGTAGGGGCCGCGGCGGTGACGCATCTCGCGTGTCCCGTGGCTGATCTCACAGACCAGCCCGACAGTGAGTCCAGCCGACAGCTGGTCCCTTTGTGGCTGGACCAGGACCTGGCGCCCCAGCCTGGCACCTTCCCCCCGTCGTCCTCCTCATCCTCGGCTGTCGCAGGCCCCGGCGAGTGACCGGCGTTCTCTTCTCTGTGATAACACGGGCCGAGGGGAGCATCGGACACAGGCTCCCCACGCTGAACGTTCTGCAGGACACGGAGGTCAGCTCCGAGAGGCCCAGGGAGTCCACGGGTGGCTCGGGGAGTCGGTGAGGAGGCTGCGGCCCGGCGGGTGATGCTGAGCTCCGAGCAGTGCTTCTGACGTCGAGAGGCGG